CACTGTGTTCGTAGGACAGCATGTGTAGTTATTTGTTTTCAGTTATAGTAGTGTCAGTTTGTTAATTCAGCTGTTATTTATTTCAGTTTTTATTTACTTTATTTATCATGTAAGTACTAAGGGCAGATCTGTCCTTTCCATTATGTACTGAACATAACCTATAAATGCTAAGAGAGTGGCAGCGGCAGATGTGTTTGAATCTGTCCCTCCTTTCAACTCCTTGTGTTCTCCTGTTTCTCTTCTCTTCCTTCTCCTTTCTCTCTCTTTTCTTCTACTTTTGCAAACCTAAAATCTATTAGGATTCAAGACTAATTACAGTCTTGATCTTCTACTAAGACAAGTGTTCAAAGTAGAAGCCAAATACTAAATTTCTTTTTCCTTTTATCAGTTTAGAAATTGATTTTTATTATAGAATTAACTCAAAATGGAATGCTCAAATAGATAATAAGGCCTATCACTATCAGCAATAGACTACTAGAAGCAAACCCACACAAAACCCAAAAGCTAAACCTTGAAAGCTTGATAATAAGGGCCTTGTGCCACTATATGGCATACTCCTTCACACTTTTGCATCCAGAGAGCCCCTCTTCAGCCCCTCCCTCTCCCTCTAGAGTATGACCTTCTGCCTCTAGACCTCATTTCCCATTACCTCTTCTACCATGCTTGATACCAACTGAATTAGCACTATCACCCCATTCTCTTGTACACTCTTCTGAGTTACAGTTGATTGATTAGGAAGGGCATGACCGTGTAAAACATGTGAGATAAACAAAGACAACCCATGACTTGTTGCTGCATTGCCAATTTAGTGCTTACATGTGCACATTTCCCAGACATGTTTGGAGTTGGTTGTTTTCTTTTTTCCAATATTTGTGGATGCTTTTGTTTGTCACTTTGTTGGCATCTGAAGATGCTGAGAAAGAGATGGACTTTGTGAAGCGTCTTCCTTTTGCTATCAGCTTATCCATTTAGAGAGAAATAAGTGACTTTTTTTTTGAAAGAAATAGAACCCAAAAGCCATTACCTTAAAGCAAATTATCAGGATGGTTTGATCAGTTGAATAGAAGCTCTATTACCTTCTTTTTTCCCTCAATTTTCATTTTCACCTTTTTCTTTATAATAGTGCCAATTATGTGCTTAAAGTGTGTTAAAAGTGAACCAAAACCCTCTGTGTGTGCAAGTGCATCTACATAAACCTATGCTCTAGTTTCATCTCTATTTTCTCCAACTAATTCCATACTCATATCTATTGAACAAAAAAAAAAAAAAAGAAAAAAAAAACTAATTCCATACTCAATAGTAGAAAAATGCACATATTCTTTTCTTCTGATCAAATAAACTCTTTTAGTTGCATGCTAACATGTCAATGGAACCCATGCAGGAGGTTTTTTGTCATTTAAGCCATCTATCCCAAAGAGACTGTTGCTGGAGGGGAAACATGATGTTACATCACACTTTTCTCTTGTTAATTACCAAGTAAGCATTTATCAACCTCATCTCAATGGATTATGTTACATTCTGTTTAACTTCTTGTATATTGAACTTCACTAACTTTATTGGAAATGGTTATTCAGATTAAACAAATAAGAACTGCTCTTGCCATTGCTTCATTGCTGAACCGTACATTGGTGAGTATTTGCAAGTCACTTTCACTATGAAGTATTTTTCTTAAGAATCTATATGCTTCACCTAGTATGAAACCTTATTTTCTTATGTAGGCAAGACTACATGTCAGTCATGCAATTCCATCTTTATATAGACATATAGCGGCAGTATTTTATAAAATAATGGGGTTATTTTTTGTTCATCCTTCATATCTGTTTTTTTTTGGGGGGGGGGGAAAAGCAAAATATTGAAATTTCATTACTATCAAAAGAATCCCTGTACAACTAGTGGCTGTACATTGGGAGAAATACAAAAAAACTTTCTCAAACCTTACAAGAGTACTATCCCTTGACTGTTTACAAAAAGACTTTCAAGTGCAAAAAAAGGTACTATAGTTTCTTCCTTCAAAGAACTTATGTATACCCAACCAAGAACATAACAATCCAACTACTTTTTTGAAACTGAATCAACTGAACATTGCCGATTGTGGAAAATTCTTCCATTTCTTTCCTGCCAAATAACCCAGAAAAAGGCTGCCGGAATTAAACTAAATGCAACTTTACCTTTTCGAGTCAAACCCTCTTGGTAGCAAGTGATAGAAAGTTTCTTTTGGTAAAGTTCTTTGGAAGTTGATTGTTGCCACAAGATTTTATCTCAAGCATAGTAAGCATCTTCCAAATATCACACAACGCCATACGCAATCAGTATCATCCTAGGGAGATCAACGTTTCATTAGATTCAAGCTGAAAATCTTAAAAAAAAAACAACACCAGGATGACAGAGAGAGAGAGAGAGTCATGAATGAACCCAACGAGCCATACATTATTATGAAGGGAAGAATGTGAGCAATTTCAAGATTTCCCTTTCCATCCAAATAAAGGCAAAAAAATAAAAACAAAGATACAATGCTATTGAATGTACACTAATAAAATAAGACAGTTGTACAATCCATATTTACACACTCCACCTCAAACTAATATGGTGACAATATTAGTTTATTTTTCATTTTTTGAGAAATGATAACTTGTAATCAAAATGGGAAGGATGTACATAAGCGATGCACAAGAAAGGGCCTACTGAGGCAAAAAAAAAAGGCCCAAGTAATTAAGTAAGCATTGTATCAGAACTATACAAAAAATCCTTCCCCAAACCTAATTGAGCTAACCCATTTGAAGCTGCAGTTCAGAAAAGAAAATAGTTCATGAATTTCAGACAAAAGGTGGGCAAATTTCCAAGGCCCTTCATCCTGCCCTTTGGCCCAATTGATGGTCTTTCTAGAGTCACCTTCAAACTTGATATTGAGAAGTCTTATGACCATGTTGTAGAGAAACTGATGGGGGCCCCACAGCTATGGTTCCACTGTGTTCGTAGGGTAGAATGTGTTCTAGTCATCCTAGGGTTAG